ATATACGATGTGGACGTGATCACAAACAAAGCATACTTCCAAGTCTTCGTTCTGGCGCAAAGTTGTTTTGCACTCCTCCTTTCGGTGCTGTTGGTGACGGGTCTGGCAGTGTGGAGCTATGTGGACCAGGCAGAGGACGGAGCCTCTACATTCGTTGGGGTTCAAACCACCTGGTACATCACTGGCGTACTGGCAATGATTGCGGCTGGCTTCTTCGGTGTATGGATCAGAATGAAAATCATCTGGGTGGCCGTGCTGGCAAGAAAGAAACAGGAATGCGGGTGGTTCAAATCCTGCGTTTGGGTTTTCACGAGCTGGAGGCAGTTCACGGGCCTATTGCAGCCGGAGAAAGCAAAGATCGAAGCTCGGGTTCAATCTCAGAATTCTACATTTGTACCTGCTCACTGGGATGCACGCGATGCCATGAATGACACAGCTTGGATTACACACTGGATTCAGGGCGTCGCCTATTGCTTGATGCTGGCTTTTGGCTCCTTTGCACTGGCTGAGTACCAGACGTATGGCATTGGTGCCATGGAAGTTGGTACCTTTTATGCTCTTTGCAAGGTGTATTTGAGTGTTGGAAAGTACATCGGCAGACTGAGCAATACCTTCGTGAACATGCAGCAGGCCATCGTTTCTCTCAGAGATGTGGCAGCACTCTTGAATCAGACCTGCCAAAGATCGCAGCGCCAAGAGGCCGTGCGCTTGGCGACACTTGAGAGCTATGGGAGTCGCCCCGGCACCATGCCAGGATTCTTACGGTTTGAGGACAACCTCTGCTTCTTGCGGCCCGAGCACTTCAAGGTGGGCTCGACCTTCTCAGAGCTCCGGCTGCGCAAAGGTTGCTGCCTGCCACTCGGGCGAGCAGTACACGTATCGGGCCGAAACGAGCGCGTCCTGCGCAGCTTCTTGGGCTTAGCCGCGCAGGTCATCCTCCCGACAGGTCCTGCAGGAGAGGATCTCGAGCCGTCGTTGAAAATGCCGTCGGTCTTGGTCCCACCAGGCCTGACACTGAAAATGCTCCCGACCGTGCCTGTTGCCTTCGGAACTGGGCCATCGACGTTGGAGCAGCTCAGCTTTACGGGTGCCCCGCGCGAGGTTTGTAAGGCGCTGGTCAATGCCGTCGGCTTGGAAGAAGACCGTGAGCCGCTAAGCCTGGGCCCAGGCTCCTCACAAGTCTTCTCCATTTGTCGGGCACTTCTCGTGGATCCAGACGTGCTCTGCGCTTTCCGGCCTTTGGCTTTGGTGCCCTTGGATGTAAAGCCTCAGATTGCCAGCTTGCTCCGACTCTGGCAGGGCGGTGGCGGTCTTCCTGGCATCGCGGCTGCCTTGGGCATTTCCATGGACTCCATGCAGAACTCGGACTCCATGGATGGCCATCCCGATGTCTACCGACCAAAGACTCGGACCCTGATCCTGGGCAATTCGGACGCAGACCTTCCCAAGCTCCCAGCACTAGATGTACATATTGATTTGGATGCGCTTTTGTGGCAACGCGAAGATGGGAGCCCAAGGGGGCCCAGGGAGGCTGAGTCCTTGCCAAGCTCCCCACGCTCGCCGCGCCAGGTCGAGTTACCTTTGGGATGCTGCCTCGGGCGTAGCAGTCTAAGGTTGCCTTGACGGTAACATGGCCCTCCTACCGACCTATGGCCGTTGCCACGAATCCGTTTCACCTGTTCTCTCCAACGCGGCAAGCGCTGTCTGTCCAGCGCTGACTGCAGATTCTGTAGATAAAGCCATCCGGGTCTCCAGTCGGCATTGGTCCTGGTCGCTCACTCGTTGCGAGAAGAGAACAGGGCCGGGTTGTTTGTCGCAGCACCTGTTGTATCGTGTTATATTAATTCCCTAAACCGTGACCCTAAACCGTAGACTGTAGACCCTAAACCCTAAACCCTAAACCCTTGTAGATACAGCTCATTCTGGTTGCAGCCAGTCAGTCATGGGAGGCTCGCGCCGAAGCCGCGCAACGACAAGCGGAGGCTCGGGAACCTGCTTTGTAACATGCAAGTGACGGGGTTTAGGGTTTAGGGTTTAGGGTTTAGGGTTTAGGGTTTAGGGATTAGGGTTGATGAGACATCGGCGCACCTGTGCCTTTGTAGCTTCGTAGAAATTGTATATAGGTGTAGAAGCATAACAAAGTGCAGCCATCAAACTCTACGTCGTCGCTTGGCCTGTCATTTTAACCCTGCTTGTGGAGCACGTCAAATTAAAGCACATTTTCTTAGGAAAGTGCAACTCTTGCGTACGACGCACGCAGTAATGTTGTACTGGTTTTTGTGTGTTCCCAAACCCGGGTTTGGCTCTGCTTAAACGGCCCGGGGATTTATGATTTTAATCGGGAGGAGTGTATATGAGTTTACTAGGGAGGACGGGCAATTGATTCTCAAGCCGCGCTGCACGAAATTGGCTTACGACACCCGAATGATAGCACTTAATTGTGGACCCCATTCTGTATACCCCCAAGCAGTCACAGTGTCCTCCGGCCAACTGGACTTATAATAGGGGCTCGCCCCCCCAGACCAGGTACAACATCACCGCTAACCATTAAAACAGGCACAGCGACATACAGTAAAAAGTGAGTTAATCACAACAAGCTGGACATATACATGTATACATATATACACATATAAACATATACATATGCATGTATACATGGACATATGCACACACACACACACACACACACGCGCGCGCGCATCGCTGCAGGCTGAGCGCCGCCGTGGCGAGGAGATGGTGGCCTGCGAGCGCCAAGCCAAAGAGGCCCCTTGAGATGCAAGTGGGGGGAGGTGCTTGCGGCTTACGAGCCGATCGGAGGAGACATCAGATGACCCCAGTTCGGTCAATATCCCAGAGTCTTGCAGCAGTAGTTTGAAGGTCCGGTGGTACTTTTGAGAGCAAGGTCGAAGAGTTTGGTGAGCTTGGCGGCTTGGAAGTTTTTGTTAACCTCTAGCGACAGGAAGTACTCAAGGGTTCCCTTCAGAGGCGGCGCTGCAAGACATGGCAGAGCGCATGGACCTGCTGCAGCGGGACACGGATCGGCGCTGCCGCGCCATGCAGGAAGCCCTCGACCGCGCAAAGGCACGCCACTGTCGCTTTGTGACTGTTCCGTAGATTTGGGGAGTTCGGGGTGTAGATTACTGTTGATGCTGTATACGAGAGTATAGGCCCATACTTGGGTTCTGATTGGGTCAAAGCTTCATGTAACGGGCTGTTTTCTTAGTACAGGCTCAGGTGCCCTGTCAGTTGACTCGTTTTCCCGATAACGTCCAGAATGCAAGCCTTCAGTCTAAACTGCTAAGTGGTTCATGAAGGCTTAGTTTATGAAGCGGGCGGGTGGCAATTTAGAAGACGTCATCTCTGGACATGGATGCTTTCGATGCATGTGCAAGCATTGTGGATGATTAGCGGCTGACCAATATAAGGCCATGCTCACCGAATAAATAGTGAACAGACCACGCTGCATTGAGCGAATCATGTCCTCTTCTACGAAGATTAAACTTCAATGCTGGACTCACAACATGTTGGGGTCCACTCCAGGGATCTACTACCCTAAGCCCTAAACTAGGAAGAAGCGAAGGCGGAGGCTGCACAGGCAGCGGCGGAGTGTCAGCGCCTCACCGTCGACGCGCAGCTGCGCGCGGAGCGTGCCTTGCACTCGAAGCTCACTCCTCCCGTACAGCCCATTCGGGTTCAGGGTTTAGGGTTTAGGGTTTAGGGTTTAGAGTTTAGGGTTTAGGGCAGGTTTCACGCAACGAGCCTGTTGCTTGTGTTCACGTATGTTGTTTTTATGGTGTTCAGGGACTTCTGGGGCAAAAGTGTATGCGTGTACTGCGCTCATGCAAGTCTGTGACACATAGAGGGGCTCGGAGCCGCAGAATGGGCAAATGGCTCTCAAAAGGCGGAGTAGGTGGAGCACATATGCCCGGGGTGCTCTCTGTTGTTGTGTCATGGCGTTTGGACAGCTCCTGCAACACCAGCTTAACCTGCCTTATGTGTCATGCATCTCGTTCACAGCATGCTGTGGTTGTTGTGGCTCGCCTTGTGGGGGTGCCACCATCCAACGAATCCATGAGGCATCACCAAGAAGGCAGAGGCAAATGCTGATGACAGGACGCAGGCAGGCTGGGAAAGACAGTCATCAGCCGTCGCGTTCTTGCTTGATGCGGAGGCTGCGCGGGCGCAGAGCGCTGCGCAGATAGCAGAGGTCCAGCGAGCGCTGGCGCATTGTCAGACCGAAGCCCAGCAGAGGACAGGTTGAGTCGGCACAGCACTGAGTGCCAAGCCAACTATGTTCAATTCTACTTATGCCAGCATGTCATCGCTCTCCAGGATCGAACGCGCGCAGCTCGAGGCGGAAATCCGCATCGACGTCGCGGAGCGATTCGGCCGACAGGCCCTGGCACGTGCGGAGGCAGCAGCGAGGGTGCCGCTTGCCTTCAACAAAGGACAAGGAAAGCCTTATAGAGCCTTGGAGAAATCCTCTAGGAGTGTGCCGTCAATCCTGTCTCCAAGGCATGCTGCGCCAGAGCTTTGTCATGCTCCGGCCATGGCCGAAATTGCTGCCCCAACCGAAGTTGCCAGCACGTGATGCTGCGAGTGATTGCGCGTGTCTCCATGCAGTCGAAGTGTGCACTTCCCAAAGTGGCATGCAGCCTGCTGAATACCAGCAAATGGCTGCATACGCTTCGTTTCCAGAAATTCCTTCTGGCCGTGGATGAAGTGATGCCACTACCAACTGGAGTTTCTTGGATCCAGACGAAGATTGCCTGATAGACGAAACTTTCCGAAAAAGGGTCATGGCACTTTGTCGCATAAACTCTGCGGTTAGATCCCAGCAGGTCCTATCCTATATGCAGGATGACGGTGTTTTCCTCTTGTGCAGTGACTGGCTTTCATGACGATCTTATGTCTTCTGTAGTACCTTAGCAGCATCGGCGGCATTGAGGTCTGCGACCATCTTGACATGCCTTCCTTTGAAATAAACAGTGGCGTGCCAGGCATCAGACAGTCAACTGTTGAAGAAGTTGACCAACAGGACGCAGGGTCTCAGAACTGTTTGTTGCTTGTGTTCTTCAACCTGGGTGTTGTCCCATGTGTTGTTGTGTGTTTAATTGCAACTGTCTAAAGACGGCAAAGTGGTGAGCGGCAAAAAGCTTGGGTATTCTCTAGAAGCTTCTTCAATAATTCTAGCTTGTCAATATTCTCCCCGGCCTCTCTTCCTCGGAGAGTTCCGATATCATCTCTGGGCCCTATTGTTTCCCAGTTGCGCATTCATGTTATGCAACTGAGTCTTCAAGCAAGTTCACCCATAGAAGCGCCAGACGGAATCTTACCGTAGAATCCTGCAACGCTGCGCGAAGGATTTCGGATTTTGAGTCACAAGTCGCCTCTCAGATCCAGGCAGGCTCTGCGCCGACTTTCTGGGATGACGAGGGGGTACTCTGCAGCTCATTGATACTTTGTGCTTTTGAGCATAAAGTGTTGCGAAGGGGGAGCTTGGGGTGCTCATGACAATCATGACAATGCAGGCCCCAAACCCCCCCCCACCAGTTCGAGCCATTGCAGACGTTGACCCAAGACGTGGACAAGAAGGTGTCCTTCCTGGGCTCCCGCAGGCGGACCGAAGAGAGACATCCCCAACAAAGTCATTTTACATCCCTGTGCAAAACCACCCACTAGCCTGGCACACGAAGCGGAAGATGCTTTGTTCATCAGAAAACCACGCCAACAAAAGGGTGGGGGGGGGGGGGGGGGTGAACGCAAGGGACCAGCTGAGTTGGAGGCCCGAGGGCGAGGAGCTCCCCGGCGTGGAGAGCATCGCCCGCGACATTGATGCCAGGATCCTGGTGCTGCAAATCGACGGCTGCCAGCCGTTCACTCCTGCCATTGCACTTCATTTGCCGAGGCTGTGAAGTACGATGTTGGTGAGCTAAAGGCGCGTCGCTCTGGCACACGTCTCACCACCCAAAGTCTCAGCTGCGCACGTCTTGCGATGTGTCAGGACTTGCTGGCTGGTGCCAAGCGAGACACCGACCACGTGAAGCGAATTGTGTTGGCGTGTGAGCGAGACATGGAGGACCGGGTTGAGCTCTAGCCTGTGTAAATGCATAAAGCTTGCCAGGCGTGCGATGCCTGCCCAACTTGTGAAGATGAAAGCGCACTGCAGGACTTCACAGCCGCCATGGACGCGGTCAATGTCGATTTGGATGAGATGCGCGCCAGAGCTACTCTTCTCTATGGCATTATGGTCCTTCGCACTGGCTTTTGCAAAACTGGTTTCCTACAACTGATAAACTCACGACAGCCCGACCTCAGTCCACTGAGAGGAGTTTTACTACCCTTGAGGTCGACTCGACCCACTCCATCATCACCTCTCGCCAGCGAGTCGAGGATTTGCGGGCTTCAGACACATCTTGGTTTGAATGTGCAGTAGTTATTTGAATTGTCAAGAACGTTATCCAGCATGTGTCGCGTGCTTTGCTCTTGGAATTGCCCTGCAAATGCAGCAATCCGATGGATGACACAATCTCATGCCGTTGCATTGCATCTCCTCTCTGCCTGTCCTTGCCTGTGAAAAATGCTTCATGACTTGGAACAAGCCTATAAGTATGGTCAGACGAGACATATTCTGCCTTTGTTAGGTCCACGGAGGTGAGGTTGCAGGCATTGCTCTCTGAAACTCACGTAGCCGCGATCGCCAAACTCAGTTCCAAACAAAGCTGTGTCGCTTTTCTGCGGGGACGCGGGCTGGCAAAGAATGCTCCCTACCTCGAGTCCACCACTAAGAGCACCAGACAAAATTGTGAGTTAAGCAAAACGACTGAACAAAGGCTGCAGGCGGAGGCCCCAAGATATCCCAAAGGGAAGCCCGCTGGAGGGACTGTCGGTCGGGATACAACTTCCAGAAATGCAGATGAACTGCAATGTTGATCGAAGCCAAATCCTGACAAGAAAAATGCAGAAGAAGGAGCCCTTCGGAAAATAAGGGGGACCAACAGCGTTCCTGCAAGCAGGCAACGGTCACTGCCGAGATCTCTACCATGCGCTTGGATATGGGAGACATGCAGGAGGAGCGGTCCCTAAACCCTAAACCCTAAACCCTTAAACCCTAAACCCTAAACCCTAAACCGAGGAGCAGTGGGTGAGCAGATCCTGTGAGTGGCATCCTCCAAGGTGAGTCTTTCTCTGTCCTGAGGCACTGAAAGCGCACGACGCCTGGATGGAGGACGTCTCGCAAAGCCTGCAGGAGGCTATGATAGGGGCATATAGGGGCCCCCATTGGCAGTACTAACTAGTTTACTAGTAGATCATCCAAGCTGGTGGCAGATCGAGAGATGATTTTACTGGCCGCAGGTTAACAAGTTAACAAGTCAACAAGTCAAGGTCGTCCATTGTAGGACACACTTATCATAGTTCTCATCCCCCTGGCAGAGCCCGATGACTTTAAATAAGCGCGTGTTCGTCCACTTTTGATGTACAGCCACAAGCAACTCGAAACACTGTATTGCGGTTGCAGCTTACGTGTTGTTTGTTTCGTTACTCGCCGGGCACGTGCTTTCTGCGATGGCACATGCAGGCACACGAGCGCTGCCAGCAAATTGGTGTCGACATCAACGAAGTGAGCCAACAGATGCAGGCTGCTCGAAGCGAGCGCGCTAGATTTCTGCAACTGCCAAAACTTTGGCTCTCGGTCCATGCATGGATTTGTGAGCTTGTGGACTTCTAGGGAGACTGACGTGTTGTCCAAGCTTTGCCCAGCTTGTGCCTGATTTCGGCGCAGGTCAAGCTGGACGCCAAGACGGACATAGTGAGCTGGAATGACATGAGCCGTGGCAGATTAAATTTGGTGTCGGCAGCAGAGTTTGGAACACCGGACAAAGCTGCACGCTGTTTACTGAGTGAGGGCGGAAGGTGCAGGAAAAATATGGAAAAATTGTGCAGCACGCTGTGATTTCGTTGGGTTATTCATGCTTTCAAGGAACGATGACATTGACGCTTCCATCAGAACCGCGCTTGGCCCCAGTTCCCCTGTTCTGATGCTGCCAGTGGACGATCAACTCAACCCGAATCCTTGGAGAAGCCTGCGTGTTGGGCAAGGTGAGAGACATGGCTTCCTCACTACGTTTCGAGGCTTCGTGGGGCTCTGAAGATGGTCATAGCAGTAGCTACTGACAGGAATCTTATGGCCTACAGGATGCCCGATTCGACAGTTGCTGACTGCTTTGTTGTGAGTTCGGGCGGTTGGGGCCGGCTTTCTGCGGCGACAATTCATAGTCGCTTCTTGCCCAATTGCCCTGGGCGACTCTCCTTCAAATGCGTTGCTCAGCGACACTGCCTTGGTTGCACTGAAGTACGAGGCAGCTAAGATGCGAACTGTTTCAGCACTAGCGCATTGCGTGTCACGTGCTCAGAACAGGTGGACAGCAGACGTCGCAGAGTTGACGAGGATTGCTTGAAAATTCGAAGCGCAGTGATCTTCAAAGCTGGCACGTGAAGAAACTTCAGAGAAGAAAAGTAGAGCGGCGCGATCCACATCTGCAAAGCTCAAGAGGGATGCTCAGCAGACTTTCTGCAGCTGGCTGCCGTTTAGAGCAGGACTTGTCGCGGCTCCGGTCCGAGATCATGTCGATGGATGAGCGGGCGGAAGCTGCCAGATTGAGTGTGCGGGTGTCATGGAAGCTGTGGCCTACAGTCCGCTGGTCATGCAATGCAGTCATCGCATGAATAAAGAGGTTGGCAGGACATAAGGTGGAAGTTGCGTTGACTGCAGGAAAAATCAATGTTCGCGATCCAGGTATGAGCGGGTGGCGGTAATTGCCCTCTGCCGAGACCACCTAAGGGCAATACAATTAAGAAGGCACCCGAATGCCTACACTCCAGCATCTCAATCACATGAACCGTTGACGCGGTCTGTTCTGGATCAGTGCCAGGTAGTGGCCAAGACCAGCGACATCCAGCGCCGCTTGATTGAAAGGAAGGGAAGACACCGAAGTTGTAGATTCGGAAAAGTGTGCTTCGTCATGCGTCCCACCCCTCCCTCCCGGATTCACTCGGTGCAGCTTCTGTCGACTGCGCCCCTGCTCTCCCGGTGCTCTGCCTTGAAGGCCAAGCAGATGAGAAGCATGCGGCCATGTCGGGTCGGCTAGAGGAAGGCGTGCAGCACAGACGAGAGCTGGAGGCCACGGGGCGATGGGACGAAACTAGGAATCGCGCTTGAAGGCGGCCGGCCACGACTCCTTAGGGCACTCGGCAACACTCAAAAGGTCCCAGCAAGACAACTAGGATACCAGCAAAAGGTATCTAGGATACCACTTTGTCAGGGTTTCAAAGTTTAGGGTTGCTTTTCCAAGCCTTAAGGGTTTCTTTTCGGAGCCTTAACAGGCACACCAGGGTTTAGGGCACTTTGGGGTTGAAAGTTCAGGGTTTCGAGATTAGGGAATCCTCAGGCACCCTCCCAATTTCAAGAACAAACAACCTAAACCACTCCTGACCACAGAACCCTAGACCTAGCCCCAAAACCCTGAAATCAAACTTCAAAGCCAAACCCCTCTCCCTAGCACAGTCTGGCCGTCTTTTGCAGGAGCAGATGTTATCCGCGTCTTTCTTTTTTAAGGTTATCTGCGTCTTTAGTTTTGGGTTGTCTGCGTCTTTTTGTTCTGGGATATCTGCGTGTTTTTTAGGGTGGTTTTCCTGCAGGGCATCACACTTTTGGCTTCCACAGAGGGTTATCTGCGTCTTTTTTTTGAAGCGTAATCTGCGTCTTTTTCCGGGTTTGGTGTTTAGGCTTAGGGTTTAGGGGTTTGGGGTTTAGGGTTTAGGGGTTAGGGTTTAGGGTTTAGGGTTTTTGTAGGGGTAGGGGTCAGGGTTTGTTTTGGGGGGTTTAGGGTTTAGGGTTTAGGGTTTAGGGTTTAGGGTTTAGGGTTTAGGGTTTAGGGTTTAGGGTCGTGGGTTAGGGTTTGTTTAGGGTTTAGGGTTTAGGGTCGTGGGTTTTAGGTTTAGGGTTTAGGGGTTTTGGGGTGGGTTTGGGGGTTAGGGTTTGTAGGGTTTAGGGTATAGGGTTTTAGGTTTAGGGTTTAGGGTTTTTAGGGTTTAGGGATTTAGGGCTTAGGGTATAGGGTTTTAGGGTTTAGTTGTATGTTTTAGGGTTTAGGGTTTGGATGTGAAGTTTGGGCTTTAGGGTGTTTAGGGTATAGGGTTTAGGGTTTAAGTAGGGTTCAGGGTTTAGGGTTTAGGGTGTTTAGGGTTTTAGGGTTTAGGGTCTAGGGTTTTGGGGTTTAGGGTTGTGTTTTTAACGTTTGGGGTTTAGGGTGTAAGGTGGGGCTTTAGGGTGTTTAGGGTTTAGGGTTTAATTAGGGTTCAGGGTTTATGGTTTAGGGTTCAAGGTTTAGGGTTTAGGGTTTAGGGTTTGTTTTGGGGGGGTTTCGGGTCGAGGGTCGTGGGTTTAGGGTTTAGGGGTTCAGGGGTTTAGGGGTTTAGGGGTTTAAGCGTTTAGGGTTTAGGGGTTGGGGGTTAGGGTTTTTAGGGTTTAGGGTTTTTAGGGTTTAGGGTCAGGTTTAGGTTTTTTTTTAGGGTTTAGGGTTTAGGGTATAAGGTTGGGCTTTAGGTTGTTTAGGGTTCAGGGTTTAGGGTTTAAGTAGGGTTTAGGGTTTAGGGTTTGGTTTAGGGCTTAGGGTGTAAGGTTGGACTTTAGGGTGTTTAGTGTTTAGGGTTTAGGGTTTAAGTACGGTTTAGGGTCTCAGGTTTCGGGGGTTTCGCAGGGTTTTTTTTAGGTTTTAGGGTATAGGGTTTATGGTCTAGGGTTTAGGGCTTTTTGGGTTTAAGGTTTAGGGTTTAGGGTTTAGGGTCTAGGGTTTAGTGTTTAGGGTTTAGGGCTCCCTGCTATCTGGGAGGAAGCCAATGTGTAAGGTTGGACTTTAGGGTGTTTAGGGTTTAGGGTTTAATTAGGGTTTAGGGTTTAGGGTGTAAGGTTGGACTTTAGGGTGTTTAGGGTTTAGGGTTTAATTAGGGTTTAGGGTTTAAGGTTTAGGGTTTAGGGTTTAGGGTTTGTTTTGGGGGTGTTTCGGGTTGAGGGTTTAGGGTCGTGGGTTTTGGGTTTAGGGTTTAGGGGTTGAGGGGTTCAGGCGCTTAGGGTTTAGGGGTTGGGGGTTAGGGTTCTTTGGGTTTAGGGTATAGGGCTTCGGGTTTTCGATTAAGGTTTAGGGTTTAGGGTTGAGGGTTGAGGGTTGAGGGTTGAGGGTTGAGGGTTGAGGGCTTCCTGGTATCTGGGAGGAAGCCAATGTGTAAGGTTCGGCTTCAGCGTGTTTGGGGTTTGGGGTTTAGGTTTCTTAGGGTTAAATAGCGTTAATTTTTTAATTTTTTTCATTTTGCTGAAGCAAACCGATATAAAGCAACCAAGCAACCAAACGTTGTTTCCAAATGTTGCAGCGAACAAACCGATTTATGGAAAATACTAACATACATACATACATACATACATATATACATATATATGTATATATGTATATATGTATATATGTATATACGTATATATGTATATATGTATATATGTATGTATGTATGTATGTATGTATGCATGTATGTATGCATGTATGTATACATGCATATATGCATAAATGTATATATGTATATGTATATATATATGTATATGTAGATATGTATATAGGTATATAAGTATATATGTATATATGTATATATGTATATATGTATATACACATCTGTTTATATATAATTATATTTTATTATAGTATATCGTATTATGTTATAGTTATATTATATTAGACTGGAAACGGACCTCATTTTTGCAATTTTCACCCATCCAAAAGTATAAAAACAATATTTTTATACCTAATCAGGGACGCCAAAATACAGGGAGCCAGGCCGGAGGCTGAAGGGCGCCAGGCCTAAGACTGGAAACGGACCTCATTTTCAAGTTTCTCCCATCCATAAGTGTCAAAATCGGTAAATTTTATTCTACTTAACTTTAACCAGGGACACCAAAAGGGGCACCAGGCCTGAGACTGGAAACGGACCTCATTTTTGCAATTTTCACCCATCCAAAACTATAAAAACAGGTATTTTGATAGTAATAAACCACAAACGGAATTTTTTTTGCAATTTTCACCCATCCATGAGCCAAAATACAGGGGAGCAGGCCGGAGGCTGAAGAGACGCCGGGCCTGAGACTGGAAACGGACCTCATTTTTGCAATTTTCACCCATCCCAAAGTGCAAAAACAAGTATTTTTCTACTTAGTCAGGGACACCAAAAGGGGCACCAGGCCTGAGACTGGAAACGGACCTCATTTTTGCAATTTTCACCCATCCAAAAGTGCAAAAATAAATAATATTTCAATAGTTAATACGTATATGTAAATGACAGTGGACCCCACAAAATTTAAGGCCGAGTATTGAAATTGCTTGTCCAACAAGGCATGCATACAGGCCCCGTCCAAACAGAGGCCGATCTTTGCTTACAATGGTCGCAAGCAAGCCCAAGGCTGAAAACCGGCATACTTTTCCGTAATTTTCGGCTAGCCGAAAGTGCAAAACTGGTTACACTTCCGGGCTTGATTGTCAAACAAAACAAAGCAGGCCCGAGAAAGTGAGAGCACCTGGAAAATTTCGCCTCTGGTGTTTGCTTGATTGAGCCAGATCTACCTTTCAAGATCAAAAATGCGGTATGTAGTTTTCAACATTGAAAAGAATGCAAAAAACAGTCTCTTTGGCAGAAAAACCACCCTTAGAAACTCATGAAGAGCGCTTACAATTTGGTCGAACTTCTTAGGGTTTAGGGTTTAGGGTTTCTTAGGGTTTAGGGTGCTCAGGGTTTCGGGCTCTTAGGGTTTAGGGCTTCTTAGCGTTTAGGGCGCACGGTTTAGGGCTTTTGGCTTCTTAGGGCTTAGGGTTTTGGGCTTAGGGCTTCTTAGGGCTTCTTAGGGCTTCTTAGGGTTTGGGGTTTCGGGCGCGGCATAGGGCGTTTTTAGGGATTAGGGCATAGGGTTTTGAGGGTTTGGGTTTGTTAGGGTTTTGGTGTTTCTCAGGGTTTTGGGCTTTTTTTCTTCATCTGGAATCGCTTGCGGGACGAGTCGTCCTCCAGAGTGAAGCACGGGTCTAGGGGTTAGGGATTGGGTTTAGGGTCGGTTTGGGGCTTCTTAGGGTTCAGGGTTTAGGGCTTCTTAGGGTGTTTTAGGGTTTAGGGCTTAGGGTTTTTAGGGTTTTAGACCCCAAACCCTGAAGACCTCCTCAACCCCAACGGCGCCCACGGTTTAGGGGTTTAGGGTTTAGATTGCCGTGGACAAGAGGGGGGGCAGGGGGGGGGGGGGAGCGCACGCCCTGCGCAAGCACAAAAAACGTGCCAAGTGATTCCACAAAAATTTTGCTAAGCGACCCCTTCCCCCACAACCTGCCTGTCCCGACTCGCTCATTTTTGCAGTTTTCCACTATTGCTATTACCAGCACCATAACTACTTCTAATGCGATTATCAATATGATTTCACTATTGTTACTACTATTATTACCGTTACAACTACAATTACTGCTACTAATGCCGTAACAGTAATCGTAATCGTAACAAGAACAAGAAGAGTAAAGGTAATAGTAGCAAGAAATAGTAATCGAAATAGTAAGAGTAAGAGTCGCCGTAATAGCAACCCACCCTGAGTGGACTTCCTAGGGTATATGACCCCCAATTGAGGATTCATTTCAACCCCAAAACTTTAAACCTGCAACCCTAAGCCCCAGCTCTGAAGGTGAACTCCAAACATCGACCCTCAACCCTAAAACTTAAACCGGAAACCCCAAACCCCAACATTGAACCCTCAACCCCAAAACCCAACACCCCAGCCCTCAACCCTAAACCCCCGACCCCAAACCTTAGAGCCAAAATCCTAAACCCAAACCCTAAAACCTCAACCCTGCACCGTAAACCCTTTTTCACAAGGGACTCGACTGCTGCCCTTTCTGCCCGGACCTTAACCCTAAACCTTGAAACCCTAAACCCTAAACCCCAAACTACAAACCCTAAACCCCGCCTCTGAACCCTCAGGCTTCTTAGGCTTTAGGGTTTAGGGTTGGTTGCTGGTTTAGGGTTTAGGGTTTAGGGTTTAGGGTTTAGGGTTTAGGGTTTAGGGTTTAGGGTTTCGGGTTTGGGGTTTGGGGTTTAGGGTTTAGGGTTTAGGGT